ATCAACATAAATCTGATATATTATTGCCAATATGATACGAAGTATATAGCAATCATATCGTGTTAATAAAAGTGGTGTTTAAGAGCAGAGCCGGCCATGAGGCCATTTCACCTAGGCACTTTCCTAGAGCCTCACTTTTTATTGGGGCCTCAAAAACGAAAATTATTTAAGCTATTATGAAGTAAGTTTTAAATTTAGTTGTTCGAAATTGGTTCTGGAGTTTGACGAAGAACTCTTTGGCCAAACCGAAACCTTTTCACCTTATTTAAGGTTGGTTTGCAACCGCTTTTAAAAAAGCACTTCTCAGCTTTTGGTTTTAAAAAAACACTTATTTTCCCAAACAATACAACTTTTATTTTTCTTGGCTTCCGCGTCAAAAGTGTTTTTACTTTTTCTATTACACAAAAAACACTTATTTTACCAAACACTACCCACTTTTACTTTTCAAAATCACTTTTTTTCTCAAACACTATCAACTTTTATTTAATCACTTCTCCCCATTTCATTAAAAAAAGCACTTTTTTAAAAGCAGAAGCTGTTGCAAACAGACCCTTAATGAATTGATAGTGTGGTCTGCGTTTGAGGCTTACTGTCCACTAGCCACATATGGAGTATTATCTTTTATCATTATATGCTCATTTTTTATTGAACTGATAACATTTTTTGAAAGTTTTTGGTTAATAACTTAAAAAATAATTGCAATTGGGCGTTTTGTTAGTTAGCTACTATGGAGTAATATTTTATAATTGCAATTGGAATTGTAATTTTTATATTTTTTGTTAATGGGTTTTCTATTAATTATTATCTGTATTTTTCCTTTTTTAATCATTATCTATAAATATGTAGGAATTATCATGACGGGTAAACCGGTAAAGAAAATTTCTCATTACTATGTAAAGAGAAACAATAAGTTGAAAAGAGATGCGGTTATTAAATTGCTTACCGACTCTATTGATCAATTGTATAGATAAACTTGTCTTCCTCAAAATACTTGGCAATAACAATGCGGGTGTTGAATTACTATTTTATCTTATTTTTATGAGTATGTGTTATATAAATCACATTAATATGATATGGGTCAAAATAAGTGGCACACTTTATTTTTTTGGATTGTATTAATATTAAAATAAGTGTCAAACTTCTATTTTTGGAAAAAAATCATCTCAAAAGCCTTTTTAATAAAAGAAAAAAGTCCAACTAGTCAACTACAGTACCTAAAAAACTCGTAACTTTAAATTATGGAAGAAACATACTCGAGCACATATTATGATACGGAGGTGGTACTAAACGTTTTTCGCCTCAGGCCTCCAACCGCTAGAGCCGGCCCTGTTTAAGAGCTAGATAAATAAGTTAGGTTGTGTATAAAATGTAATTCTTTTACTCATGCATGTAACTTTAGTATAATACTATTTGATCATAAAATTGATATCATTTTTCATTTCTAAATATGGGACATCTTTCTTTTTTATGTATTATTGCATAATTTGACATGTTTATGATTCAATTATTATTCACCACTTGACGCGAGAATCATTTTATAGATTTAATTCAGCTGACCTTCTAGATAAAATTTGCCTACTAAAAGTCTAAAGCATGAAACCTTTTTTCGTTCAATGACACTTTTTTTTAATCAATTTAATGAAATATAAATTCACCGCTACCAATCGCGTTATGTGGCCGGCCTATTGTCGCCGCCATCACCTTCATTAAAATCATAATGTCACAAAATTATATATTCTAAATTCTTTACTAAAGAAGAAGTTAAAAGGAATAATTTGCTCAATTCCAAATCCTTGAAGGACTAATATCTTCAAAAAACGACCACACCCATTATTAAATAAATAAATTACAAAATTGTGTAGTTATTAGTTTTGAAAAAATAGTAAGCTACTGATGAAATCTAATTGAAATATATAGACTGAAAACATATGTATATAATTAGTTAAAAATAAGACATACTAAATAAATAAGAATATGCATTATCAATCAATAGTCATAAATACGATCAAAAAAAAAAATCAATAGTCATAAATGACTAAATAAGTGACTTTCCGTTAGTTATAATAAGTCATACATATACCGGTGCACACAAACATACCCACATATAGTAAAACTAAAAACAAAATCACTTTCGATTTTTAGTTGAATGTTACCTTTCTTTATTATAGTTTTGACAATTAGTTTTGTATTTCAGTTATGTTTGATTTTAATCTTGCAATCTCTTCTCTTCAATTTTTATATAGTTACTTATTTATGGTAAAACTTAAAATATTTTTGACTTTGAAGGAGTTAATTATATAGGAATCGAATAGTACCGAAAAACCGTACCGAACCGTATCGAAAATTGGTACGGAACGGGACATGTTCTATATATATTTGGGACGGCACCGGTTCTTTGATTTTTAAAAGAACCGTACTTTGGAACGGGACAAGTTTTTTGAAATAACCGTCTCGTACCGTTCCATGCTCACCCATAGTTTCCTTGTCATTGGCTCAGTTAAGCCCATTACAGGATCAACAAATGTTATTGCTTCTATAGAGGTGATAAATTCTAAGTCTGGTTCGAGGGCTGACGGCAGACATAAGGCTTTTTAAGGCTTTTTATCGTTTTGTTTTCTTCTTTTTTCTTTGATTGTATTATCAGCCATGTGATGAACGTTTACTTGATTTAATATATTTGTTGGATTGACGATAAAAAAAACTTTTGAATTCTGGTTTGAAATTGAAATAAGTGCAGGTAAAAACATACTTATTTACATAGACCGCATTTAATTTTTACCAATCCGAGGCTGCCAACTTTAAAGGGTTTTCTAATACTCCCTCCGTCCCTATTTAAAAGGTCCCTTTTGACATACACACAATTTAAGAAAATGACACTGTTTGACATTGTTTGGATACTGTTTTACACTGTTTTGTTTACCAAATAAGGAAAGAGAACATTTTCAAGGGACGGCCCGAAAATAAAAGTTGGATGTTTATTTAGGGATAGAGAAAGTATATTATTTCCCATTCAATTTTGTAAAATAAGAGTTATCTACAACATGTGAATATTTTCTTAAATTGAACTCTATTAATTTTTATTTTACTTTAATTTCTCACTTGATCATTTTATCTATCATTTCACCTTTTAGTTTTTGTAAACTCATCTTACCCTTTCTTATTTTTTAAAGGATGGAATTGTAAAAATTGATTTTATTTTTTATTTTCTTAAAGTATTGAGATGCTTTTATTTTTTGAATTATACTATTTCTTAGTATTGTTCATATATATTAATAAAAATTTCCATGATAACTATTTAATGTTAAATTTCTTAGTATTATTTTTTGAAATAAGTGTAGTTTCTCATGATAAGTATTACTTTTAGGACGTGTTTACTTCGCTCCTAAAATCACATTTAGGTTAGTAAGACAGGTGAAGTAAACACATAATCTGCTTAAAACGATGCTTACTAACTGAAACATGTGCTTAAAGTACCACTTAATTAAACATATCACCCCCGATGTATTAATTACACAACACTTTAAACTTTTCCAGTTTCCAAATTTACCCTTACCCCTACCCTTGCCCTTACCCCTTATTGTTACCCTAGCCCCTACCCCCATTCCTAACCCTACCTCACCCAGACACCACTCCGCCCTCTTCCCTACCCCTACCTGTTTCCGTACCCCTAAACCCCCTACCCTTTCCCCTTCCCATATGCGGGCCCTTACCCTAACCCCCTACTTCTGGCCCGTACCCCTACCCCCACCTGTTAACCCCTACCTCTACCCCAACCTACTTATTTATATCAATAAATACATCCTATTTATTTGTATTTTCTTTTATTTTATTTTTTATCTTTATTATAAATATCATTTTTACTTTAATCTTTTTATCATAAATGAAAATATGAATTTGCTATTAACAAAATAAGCCCTATTAGGGAATATAGGAAGATGATAGTATAGATAGGGAAAGGGAGCATAAATTAAATTACGTACTACGTACTCCTATTTTGAGAAATAGGACTACTATGTTTTTTTTCAAAATAGGAGTTGTTACTGCCATGCGTGAAAAATAATGTTATAATTGAAAGGCTTAAGGGTCAAATAGGTACATGAACTAACTTAAAATGTTCAATTAGCCCCTTATATAGGAGGTTCTATCCGGCCGTCGCCAATTGGGGCGATTCCCGGTGGAATTTTTTGATGAAATTTTTTGAGCATCTTCTTCATTAAGTCTAGTTTACACATACCAAATTTCAGCTAAAAATCCAACCGGGAAGGCAGTCAAATAATTTTTTGAAGACAACTGCGCAGTTAAATAGCGCAGTACATTTTGGAAAATCATTTGACTGCCTTCCCGGTTGAATTTTTAGCTGAAATTTGGTATGAGTAAACTAGACTTAATGAAGAAGATGCTCAAAACATTTCATCAAAAAATTCCATCGGGAACCGCTCCAATTGGCGACGGCCGGGCAGAACCTCCTATGTAAGGGGCTAATTGAACACTTTAAGTTAGTTCATGTACCTATTTGACCCTTTAACCTAATTGAAAAATACTATCATTAATTAGGACTAAATGATGGTTGAAATTCTAAAATAGGACTACTATGTTTTTTTTTTCAAAATAGAAGTTGTTACTGACATGTATGAAAAATAATGTCATGATTGAAAAATACTGTCATTAATTATAATAAATACTGTCATGTTAAATGCACTGTACTGCAACTATATTTGGCAGTCACGACTAGAAGATGTCACTAAATAATGCCATGTTAGTCTATTTCGAGAATAAAAACATACTAATTTTATTTTGTAATCCCAAATTCCATTTACTCCTATTTTGGGAAATCTCCCTAAAAAGACTATAATCCTTTTTTTGCATTTTGACGTTTATGTAGTCCTATCTAAGACTTTATTCCGTGATAATTGTTATTATTATTATTATTAATATATTATTATTACTATAATTATTAATATTGTGTCAATGATAGATAAGAGAACACATATATACCTAGCTTTCTATTTCACAAGTGTCCAAATAAAAATGGCTCCCACACTACACAAAATGTCACCCTCTGAGTTCACCTTTTTGCTTTAAAGTGAGCTCTACCGGAAACCTGATCAAGTGTGGAGAAAGATGAGATAAATGTACTTCGTACAATACATTCTATCTATCTTTGTCTAGTAAATAAGTTCTTTCTCCATCTCTCAGCTTCTTCCATCCCTCTCATCTCTCATATACAGACAACCCCATAGTTAGCTGATCAGAGAGGAAAGCAAAGAGGAAAGATCGAGTGAGTAAACCCATCCACTCAAAGAGAAATTAAGTCTCTATCATCAGATCATCCTCATATATCAGCAAGTCTTTTTCAATTCCAAGCTAATTATAAGCTAGCTTATTGTACATATATCTCCTGCATATATACTTGCAGGTGTAGTATATACCAGCAGCTAGCTAGCTAGGGCGAGAAGGTAAGGGTACAAAGATCCACATTATATTTTATATATTTCAGATCAAATACATACATAAATACAAACATAAGATAATAAATTAGGACCCCAAGCAAACACCTACATATCCCATATATATAAATACAATATAAACGTATATATGTATCCCATCATATATAACAGCTCCTTCACTTCTCCTTCAATGCGATACATATATGAAGAGGATGGAGATTTGCTGCTGCAACAAATCTCCATTTATGACCTCGTTCAACAACAACAACAGCAGCAACAACATGTTGCAGGAGCGGGGGGCGGGGAAGAGAAGTACCTCGGGTGTATTAGGGCTTCAGCGGCGGCGGCAGAGAGCGAAAGCAACAATAAGAGCAAAAACAAGAAAGACCGGCACAGCAAGATCCACACGGCCCAAGGCCCCCGGGACCGGAGGATGAGGCTCTCCCTGGACGTGGCTCGCAAATTCTTCGACCTCCAGGACATGCTGGGGTTCGACAAGGCCAGCAAGACCGTCGATTGGCTGCTCACCAACTCCAAATCCGCCATCAGGGACCTCTCCAACATCGGCTCCAGCAAATACCACAACACTTCCTCCCACGCCACCTCTGAGTGCGGCGGCGAGGCGGTTTCCGGCGTGGTTGATCAGGAACCCTCCTCCTTCACTGAAGATGGGAAGAAGGAGAGGAAGGCCAAAGCGGCCCGACCTAGGGCTGCAGCTTCCTTCAATTCCCCCACCAGTAAAGAATCACGGAGCAAGGCCAGGGAGAGGGCGAGAGAGAGGACGAGGGAGAAGAAGATGGGGATGACGATGAACAACGGCGGCGCTAGCAGCTTGTTGGCCGGACCCCCACATGCCGCCGCTTTCCCGGATCAAGCGCCGCCGCCGCCGCCAGAGGAACACAACTGGTGCCTATCCAACATTTTCCAGTACCCCCAAAACCCGCTTGCAACATCCAATCAGGTAACAAAAGAAAAGAAAAGGGGTCATCTTATTAAATTAATTATTAGTTCGTGGGTGGGTTTTAATGTTGAAAAGAAACTAATCCATTCTTCATCGATCTCTTATTTTATTTCCAATCCGCAACAAATTAGTTGAACCCCACCTAGCTCCCTGGGCGGGGTAACTGGTCTAGGCGGCCTGCAGCCTTTGAATTTTCCACCTTCTTTACTGTATTTTTTAGGAATAATTTTAAATATTAAATCATTTACTGTAATATATATACTCTCACATATATAAATATTAAGTAAATATTTTAAAATACACAAAAATATTTATGAGTACATTTTGTTTTTACATCCCTGCAATTTTTTGTTTTTGTTTTTAGTCCCTACAATTTATGTTAGTTTTCTTTTTAGTCCATCACCGATATATCAACATCCGTTTGATTCGAAACTAATTCCGACTAATACAATTCCTCTAATTCTTTTTCATGTTATTAAAAAAAGTGTTTAATTTAATTTTTTCGAAGGCTTTAATTTTAGTATGTATTTCAAAAAGGTTAAAACTTAATTTTACATTATTTTAGTTCTCATATTAGCCTCAAACAATTAGAAAATGATAAATTTAAATATTTCTAGTAGATTTATGCAACTGACAATAAATTTTTTTCTAAGTAGAGTGGGTTTGAAATTAGAGAAGGACTAAAAACAAAATAGAGCATATTACAGGGACGAGAAACCAAAAAAATATTTTGCAAAGACCTAAAACAAAATGCGTCATATTTGCATGGACTAAAAACATATTTAAGCATATTATTTATTTCACAAATGAAACTTTAGAAGGTTAAATGCATGCTGACAAAGTTTAGAGTATTTTAAATTATGTAATTATTCCAATAAATTTGTATTTGTAAAAAAATATACAATCATATTGCGAAAATAATTTTTTATATGATACGAGTATTCATCACATATATATTACATATGTAAGTTTGAGGTACTTATCGGTATAAAAGTTTGAAATATTGAAATTAAATTCCACTGTTTTATACTCGAGTATTTTATTATACAGTGTGTTTTAAAATCTAATTTGTGGGTCTTTTCCTATAAAATTGTATTGCAGCCTCAGTTTGCAGACCTAGCCCATTCTGGGAAGTACTACTGGGATGGCTACAACAGTGGGAATCTATGAAAAGATGCTACATGAATGAAGATTTAGTTTGTGTTTTTTTTGTCGATCGGTATTTCAAAATAATTTATGTCTCCCGATCGGACATGCATTTCCCTTATTTAAAATAATTTTATGTCTTACCATTTTTACTACCTCTAATCTTATTCTCTAAGAAGAAGAGAAGAGGGGGGGTTTGCTAGATCTGGTTCTTCCTCGATTATGCTTTGTCTCATGTTGCATTTTCGCTTCAGTTATATTATTACCATAAGATGACTCAAATTGTATATTTTTCATTCCAACTTTGCCCCTCCTTGATCATACATTGATTCTAACAAAGTTTTTGACTTTTGAATTGGACTAAAATTTTCTAGTCTCATCCGGTAAATGTATAGTCTACGTGTATTTTACAACTATCGAAATCGTAATTTGGTCTGATCTGGTGTGTTTATAATCGGAACTCAAATCAATTCAAGTAAAAACATGCTTCATACATTCCCTGGATTAGCATCACTGTTTTATCGTTTATTGAAAGCCCCACTACAATAGGTAACCATATATTCTCTTGATTAAGAGTCCGTTTGGTGACTCTAGACCTCAGAGTTGGACGAAAAACTGGGAAAACCGATCCAAACCGAACCGAATTTTCCGGTTCGGTTTGGTTCCTATAATTCTAGACTTCAGCATTTTTCGGTTCGGTTCCTATAGTATTTTATCGGTTCGGTTTCAATTCGGTTCTGATTCCTAGGCAAAAACTGATCTTTTAATACATTGCATGAGTAATCTTCATTTGGGTGCTAGGTGGAGTTTTTTGATTAAATTTTGTGAGCTTGTTTTTCATGAAATATAGATTATGTCCATTAAATGTGAGCTTAAAATTCAATCGTAAAATCAGTTAAATAAATTATTCAAAAACATTATGCCAAAATATATATGTAGTATAAAAAACACGATGGATGTTCTAATGATTATCTTGTTATTTGTTCATAGTAAATTACTATCATTACCGGTCAGTTTATTACTGCACACTTTTTACTTATGTTGCATTACTAGTAGAAGAATATTACTTTGGGGTTGAACTGCCTGCTATTGGATGTGTGCTTTGGAGCTATTAAACCTTTTTGCTTGACAGTTGATGCCTATTTTAAACCTTCATGTTTTTGTTATGTTTAAGAGCCTGTTTGCTATTAGCCATTTTACTTTATCTCTATGAGACACAGCTTCTTGGAAACTCTCTGGTTCTCCATTTCAGTTAACAAAAGATATTCAGATTATGTGTACCTTGTCGATGGTATATGCCCTCGTTCAGATCTACGAACAGTAGGAATCATCTGAGAAGAGCTACCATCATTTGTGTCTGGCGGGTGGATTGTGTCTCCCCTTGCTCTGCACTCTCTTCTGTCTCCTCGTCTTCTTCTGCTTCTGAGTTATCTGATCTTCATGCACTTCGTCCTCTTCTGGTGCTTCATTTGAAACTTGAGCACCCTCATTTGACTTCCGAGACATTGTGGGTTTTTCAATGTCTTCTATTGTCAAATCTTCGTGGAACACAACGTCCCTACTTCTGAACACCTTTTTCTCCTTAGGATCCCATAACCTGTATCTGAACTCTTCATTTTCGTAGCCAACGAAAATGCATGGGATTGTTCTTGCATCAAGCTTTTGCCTGAGCTCCTTGGATACATGTGCATATGATGAACAACCAAATACTCTAAGATGTGAGTATGTAGGATCCTTATCTGTCCATAGCCTATCTGGAACTTCAAAGTTCAGTGGTACTGAAGGTGATCGGTTGATAAGATAGCATGCGGTGTGATGTGTGTTTTCTCGCACTTAAAATAGATCGTAATATAGTGGTGTAAGTACGAGTATCGTCTCCACAGGGACGGACAAAAGGGAATGAAAAATTAATTAAATTCAGCGATTAAAAAGAAAATAAAATAAAAGCGTCGTGCGAGATTGGTTGGTTTGGAAAATAAAACTAATGCGAACAATTAAACTAGGGGGTTCTTTCTAATTAAAGACGAAGGGAACAGGGATCGATTCCAGGGTAACCAGATTTCTGGCAGATCAGGCCTAATTACATGAAATTAATTTAATTGAGCCTAGCTAATCATTACTAAGTTCTTACCGCTCTCGCGGCGTAGAGTACAATAATTTAGGGGACCAGGCTGATCTCTCATGCGACAGGATCCTAAATTATTGTCAAGACGAGCGAGCTTACGACCCCTTAATCGCTACTAATCTCTTAGCGAACGATTAAGTGTGTGTGAATGTATCCTAGAACAAATTAGATCTCTCTTAATTTATTCTACATGCAATTGTAATTCTAGTCGCGATTCTAGGTTACAAAAGATATCAATTAAATTATTCAAACACAAATTAAACGGCATTCATGCAATTAAACGGAAAAAATCTAGCCATACATCATGATTAACCCCTTCATCAATCCCAAATCCTTAATTAAAACTACTCACAATTCATAATTGAAGAATCAATAGAATTGGAATAAAAAGTATTAATTGTCATTAATTAAAAAGGTGGAACTTACAAAGAATCCCAAAAGATTGATGAACAAGGCTGAAAAGCCCTCTAAAATTCGTGTTGGGCACTCTCTCTAAGCTCCCCCCCTTGAAAACGGGGGTTTACAGGCTGTTTAAATAGAAAAACCGGGTGAAATTTGAGCTGAATTAGGATTTTCGGAGCCAGGCACGATGCCAGACACGATCGTGCCTTCGATCGTGCCTCCGGAGCAAAAACGCACATCTTGGGCAGGCACTATCGTGCCTCCCTCCAGGCACGGTCGTGCCTGGCTGGCAGTAACACCGCGGTGCTTTTCTCTTCAGGCACGATCGTGTCTGACTTTGAGGGCACGATCGTGCCTACTTAACTTCTGAATTTGACAAAACTTCCCTCATGAAAGTTGTAGATAATGAAGTCCTCTATCCACCCCAATTTGCCGAATGTGATTTGAATCATCCAATCAAGAGATATGATCAAAACGGTGGAAGGTGTCTTTCTGAAATCGCAGCAGAGATCATCTGACTTCATCGTCTGTTTTCACCTTCTTCCTCTCAGATTCTCGCAAAGGTGTCTTCATATGATTTGTAGCCCTTGACGTTGGCTTTCCTATGTAACTTGAATCGTGTACATTGGATTTTTCTACAAGGAGATATGCTTGAACGATTGACAGAAGGTCATCCTGATCGTCGTTTTCAAGCTTCATTCATCTTCTTTTGACTCCGTAGCCAATCATAGAGCTCTTTTTCCTTCAAATCTTCATCGTGAATCTTCCGGTGACCTCCAAAGCTATCAAATCATTTTCAAATGCTTCTCAAATTATCCCGATTGTTCCTCATGTGCCGGTGTCGGGCTCAAATTCCCTGATTTTGACTACAAACAACACAAAACTCGAACCAACGCCCGGTAAACATAACTTGAGCTAAAATTGAGACTTGTAACACCTTAAAACTGGGGAAACGATCAAAATCCAATCCCAACACACATCAAATGCGTGTCTAAATATGGACTTATCACAGTGTTGACTGCTTCTCCCCAGAATGACTTCGGAAGTTTAACCATATTCAGCATGCTCCGGACACGCTCCATAATATTCCAGTTCATTCTTTCAGCAACACCGTTGTGCTGAGGGGTGCGTGGTACTGACTTCTCATGTCGAATGCCATATTCTCTGCAATATGCATCGAACTCCTTGGAAGTATACTCGCCTCCAGTATCAGATCGAAGACATTTCAACTTCTTTCCTGTTTCACGTTCCACCAAGACGTGAAATGTCTTGAAGCTCTCGAACACCTGATCCTTTGTAATCAGGAAATACACCCACACTTTCTGAGAAGCATCATTGATAAAAGTCAGAAAATATTTGCTTCCACCGATTGATTCCACCTCAAAAGGACCAAAGACATCGGAGTGTACCAAACTTAACAACTCCGATCTTTTAGTTGAAGTAGAACTAAATGATACTCTATGTTGCTTACCAAACAGACAATGACTGCAAGGACCCAATGCAACGTTCTTGTCGATGTTGATAAAGTTCTTCTTCATCAAGGTAGTCAACTCTTTCTCACCGATGTGGCCGGGCCTCAGGTGCCACAGATTCTGACAAGTCTCCTCTGCAATGTTGAAGCTATCCGTACAAATACTCAAATTGGTTGTGTACAATGTGCCACAAACATGTCTTCGAGCGATTGTCTAAACGCCCTTTGACATTTTCCAGGTGCCCCTGTTAAAGTAGTTTTCATACCCCTGTTCGTCAAGACATACCTCAGATAGGAGATTGAGCCGAAGGTCTGGAACATGTCTGACATCCTTCAAAGTGATTGTGCTCCCAGTACTCGTCTTTATTTGTACATCACCAATTCCAGCTATTCCAGAGGAACTGGAATTGCCCATCTTCACTGCTCCAAAGTCTCCAACTTTGTAAGTTGTGAAGTAGTACCTGTGGGGAGTAACATGGTAGGATGCTGCAGTATCTACCACCCATTCAGTGTCCTCTCTTGAGACGTGAAGGCATGTTTCATCATTGATAGTACAATACACCACATCACCTGAGATTGTGATGAGCGCTTCACCACCCTTGTTCTTGGCTTGGTAGCGCCCCCAGGCGTAGTCATTCGTGGCGAACTGGGTTACCAAATTTCGTGTGTTCTTCGTTGTTGTTTTTTTCGTGTGCGTAAATTTAAATTCCTAACAATTGGTATCAGAGCCCTAGGTTCGAAGGGAGATCTCACGATCGCGGACAATTTGAAGACACCGGTGATGCAGTTTGACGGAACGAATTATGGATTCTGGAAGTTGAAGATCGAAAATTACCTGTACGGTAAAGATCTGTATCAACCTCTGGATGATAAGCCGGAAGACATGAAGGAGAGCGATTGGAAGTTGCTGGACAAAAAAGCGATGAGCGTGGTTCGATTATCGTTGTCTAGAAACATCGCCCTACACACCGTCAAAGCAAAAACAACGAAGGAGATGTTGCAGATTTTTTCGGATATGTACGAGAAACCTTCCGCTGTGAACAAAGTTCATCTGATGAGGCGTCTTTTTAACCTGAAGATGTCAGAAGGTACGGGAGTGGTGGATCATCTCAATGAGTTCAATGTGATCACCACACGTTGAGCGCGGTTGAGATAAAATTCGACGACGAAATTCATGCCCTTGTTGTATTCTCTCCCAGAAAGCTGGAACGGAATAGTGACTGCAGTCAGGCCATCTCCAACAGTTAACACCATTTTTTACACTAAAATGGTGTAAACATCACATCAAACAGTATTTTATCTCCAACAGTTTACACCATTTTCATCACCAAAAAGGAATATTCTCTTTTTATTCTTTTTACTAACTTT